TACGGAGGGTACACATTTTTACGCAGAGACACAACCTAGTTACTACTATATGCAGATTCAGATGAGAGGATTGTTCATATGGCATAGGAATGTGCCCCCTTAAATTACACAGTTGTTCATGAGGGGTTTCATCTATGCATATATAAAGGGAGTATTGGATTCTTGAATTTGAACTGGTATAATATGAGTGCTAATTTCACATTGAACTTTAATTGTATGTTGCATACGATTGAGAGGGCTTCTATACTGTTTAAATGTGTCTATGCCTTCTTGTGGAAACCTCTATGAGTGCAATGGAATAAAGATATGCTGATGCAATGAGTACAAACTGAAATGGTGGGACGCCGTGTTTATATGGCTTCCTTTATAGTTACCTTATTTTTGTGAATGCGTTCTCATGCGGAATCCTTTCTGTGAGTGTGTTCTTTGATGTTCTGATATTCTCAGTAGTATCTCCCCGCATGCTGCATTCTTCCTGTGTATGTTCTATCATGTTTCTGCATTTTTATGAGAGTATTTTTTCATGGCGCTCCTTTCTTATATATGCGGGTTCATGTGGGCCAATTTAGCGAACGTGGTTTCACGTGTTATAATTTTCGCAGACGTCGTCTCCTGTGGCCTAATTTTCGCGGACGTTGTTCCCTGTGGCCTAATTTTCGCGGACGCCCCCCCAGGTGGCTTAATTTTCGCGAAAGTCTCTCCCTGTGGCGTAATGTTGCAAATGTGCGTTCATGTGCCGCTTCTTGCGAAGATGATTTCCTCTGGGCGAATTTTTCGCGGACGCTCTTCCATACTGCGTAATTCCTCGCGCAGGCCCCTCCATGTGGCGTAATTTCTCCATGACGTAGCTTCATGTGGCTTAACCTCGTCAGAGTTGTTTCATGTGGATCAATTTTTGGTGGGGCCCTCTCATGTTTTATATCTGTTGCAGGCAAGCTGTTTCGTTCTGCTTCATTATATATATTTCTCTATTTAATTTCTTCATGAGGATACACCTTTCTGCCGCATTGCTTTCACGAGAATTTTTGGAGGGTTCCTTTATGATGACATCCCTGGAAGCATCCTTATGAAGATACCACCTTTGCTGGCATTCTTATGAAGATGCCCTTACCTGCCGCATCTTTATGACGATTTCCTCTGTGTCGTTTTTTCATGATGCTCTCTCCTTCTACATCTTAATGATGCTCTTTGTGCGAGTCATTGCGCTGTTCTCGTCTTACGTCACTGTGATGTGTATAGTTTCGCGGCGGCACTGTGATGCCTACTGTTCTGCCGCTGTAGTATGATGCTTTCTCTCCGTTTGGCATTTTTCTAAGGATGCTTATATCTGGCATGTGACTATAATAATGCTTCTTTGTGTTACATTTCTGCACAGCTACACTGCTCTTGTTGCGTCAATATGAAGATGTTCCTGTGTGTGGCATTCTTCTCAGGATGATATTTGCTGTTCCATTTTTATGAAGTTCTCTTCTTTTATGGTGCGTCAATGTGAGGTTTATTTTCCCTGTATGCCAGCCATCTCTGCAAGATTCATTTCACCGCGTTGTACCCTTAAAATATATTCTTTCGCCCGTCACTCTTATCAAAATGGTTTCTTCTGCTGTGTCACTATGAGGATTTTTCTCCGTATTGCATTCCTTTCCTGACGATAGTTTTCTCTTCAGTTGCCCCGATGAGGTCTCTCGTGCCACGTCATTATGACAATTCTTGCTGGTGGGGCATTGTTGTTACGAAGATTCTTGTTACCGCGTTATATTCATGATATTCTTCTGTTTCGCTGCCTTTTAAAGATGCCTCTTCCTTCTACTCTGCTACCGCGAAAATATTTTCCCGAGGCCCTCCTTTTATGAAGATATTTCTCTTGCGCGGCATACTTATGATGCTATTTTCGGGCGGCAGCCTCAATATATTGTCCTGTCTGATTTGTTTTATATGGATGCTCCCTCATCCCGCGGGATCGTGAAGATGTCTTTCTGTGTGTTATCTTTTCTACGATGATGTACATTTTTTCGCGGCGTCTTGGAGAGGTCCTTTCCTGTGTGATTTTTTCTATGAAGATGCCCTTTTTCCGCACCATGGTTAAGATGCTGTTTCGTCCTTTATTTTTTTTATGAAGATGTTTTCTTTTCTTTTGTTATGTTCAGGATGTTTTCTTGTTGTGTCCTCTTGAAGATGTTCCTCTGCCTTCATTATTGTGAAAATGTTTCCTGAGGTCACATCATTGTGAAGAAACCATTCTGGGTGAATCCCTGTGGATATGTTGTATTTATTATATGTTATTCTTCTTTATCACAATCCTCTGTTTCCTAATATCTTCAGGAGCGTGCTTATTTTTTTTCTATGTGGCTGCATTATGAAGATTTGTCCTCTTTTTGGCTATTATGAGAATGGCCACCTATTTGAAGTGTAAATATCATGACTATACAGATGCAGTAGTATTACCAAACACGAATAATATACCGATGTGTAAAAGAGAACCTTTATCCCTGGTGTATTATTGCTTTAGAAGTGATAATGTCCATCGGGTACTATTAGGTAAATAGCGATTTTACCTGGATAACACTGTTAATTGGACAAGAGACTTGGGTCAGGGGTAAGGATTTTCCTGGAGTGTCATTGTAGGGAGGTTACTCACGTGTGCGTAACACTCATATGTCCAAAGTACTGACATGCTTATGGTTTCGTTACATGAAGATGACAAACCCGCCTGGTGTAATCTTCCTCGCGAAATAGCGGTTTGTGTTTCTAACGCTAATGCAACAGCCGGATGGGGATGTAGTACTGTTATGTGAAGTGCATGGGTATTCCAGAATTTTTGCTTAAAAAGTATTGACGTGTCTGGATTCTCGATGGTGAAGAATCCCAAAATTGCCATTGTATTGTTATGTAAACGTCGTATTAGTTCAGCTATGTTCATCACCTCTAGTGTTATCATACTACGGGGAACGATTCTGTTCTGTGGGATGTCCCATAATGAATATTATTATATTCGAATTAGGTTTTTATGGAAAGGTATTTCTCTACGAGGAGTATGGTGATTTTAATGATATTGTTGTGTCGATAAAGCCTCTATTTGAATAGCACTAGCTCTTAGTGAGTATTCATGATTCGCAGTGGAAATTTGAGACAATTACAAACGTATGTATAGTACTCATATTTGGAGATACGTGACATGCTTGGTACACTGCTATATGGATGGTGGCGAATTCGAGACAGTCGTATTAAGTGATGTATTCGGCTGATAGGATGTATGTAGCGTAACCTTCTACTATCCACGAACAGATGGAATAAGAGGTGCACAGACTCCAGTACTATTTGTATGTGAAGCATACCTCTGCGTCGAGGGTGTTAATGTGTGAAGTGCACTCTTAATTGGAGAGGACTACTGTTATGTCGGAAGCGGTGTACACCGAGGAATAAACTTATCCTTGGATTATCAGGATGTCAAGTGTCTTGATGTAAGTCTAATGACTTCATTGGAACACGTGCGGGATTGCCGAGCTCCCAGGGCTCACCTGTAATACTATTACTTAAAGAGTATTGCTACTCGTGGAGTATAATGATCTTAAGAGTACATTTTTGTCTCAGGTATTGATCTTCCAGGAGTGCTATTGTGCTACGGGCACCATTTTATCAGCACTTATTTGACTTCATTAGTAAGACTATGTCTGTAGTACTATTCTTTAGAGAGTATCCGTCTTCAAGGAGTACCGTTATGTTAGAAATACTCTTGTTTGAATAATACATTCATTTGAACTGCACAGTTGTATGCGAAGCATCGATGACTCGAAGTATTATGGGGTGAAGAGTACATAGATATAGGCCGTAATCATATCTGCATAGTGTTAAGATGCCTGGTACGTTACTATTCGAAGAGTGACAAACTTACAACTCTACTGTGAAGTAATGTATGTTAAACTCGATAAGATATATGGCATAATGTTTTATCATATGCAGAGATTTACATCATAAGAGGTATGAGCGTTCCCGTAATAGTTT